GCATGGGGCCTGGGTGCTCTAGTCTTCAACAGCTTCGGACATGTGTGGCACAACGGCGGGATCTTCCGGTCCGGGGCCTTGGTTCAAGACCCTTGAACCAGAGGTATCCAGAAATTTGCGTTTCTAACTGCACGCTCAGCAACATCAAGCGTCGAAACAGGCCGCATCGGACACCGTGATCTAAACATGGGCAAAAAGCATTGTTTGCAAGACGAGGGGCTCCCGTCCTTGCTCTTCACGTACGGACATGGACCCGGGCAGCCATGGCCCCGCCATCGCCACTCCTCGGAGAAGTCCCAAAGCGATCGAGTGCGAGTCTCGCAGCGACAGCATTCGTTCGTCGGAAGTTTATTATCGATCCGCAAGTGCTTTTCCCTCTGCTTTCGATGTAGCTGCTAATTCTATAAGCCGGGACAGCTTCGAAGTCTCCATTAGATTCGATGTCATAAAAGCCGCTTCGTGATTCCTTTTCGGAGGACGGAGCGGATGGGAATGCAGCCTGAAAGCATAAGAAAATCTGGGGGGAAGAAGTTCAAGGTGATCTTGTGCCAACATGGAAACAAGTTTATCAAGAAGTTTCAAACAGCAAACTCATCGACTTAAAAGATCTCGACAGTATCGACCACACTGCCTTCGTTGTCACTTCGGCAGCAGGTGTCTACATGCAAGATACACAGCAGCAGCCTGGCTACTGGTGTTTACATGCCGCCCTGACAGGGCTACACAAATGTGTGGGTGTGTGTTGACACGCTCAGGGATCGCAACTCAGCCACTTCCGGACGGGCTACTCTGTCAGTCAACCGGCACAGCAAAACGCAGCACCTCCACCTCTTCGTGAGCGATATTTCGGTTGCCCAGGAAGCGGTCCACGCATTCCTCGGGGAAACGTATATCCGAAAACAGGGAACGACTGCTGGCCTGTAGAGGCTGCATTGCACTGCAAGCAAGGCAGCGGAACATGTCACCCAAACAGCGATGCCAGTGGTCGTCGCAAAGCCTGTAAGAACTCCTGCACTGCAAGCCGCGTTATCTGCGTAGGTGCCACAGGAGATTGTCATCATGCATTTGCAGAATTCATCCACGCGCTTGTCAATGAGCGCATAGTTGCCTTGGGGTGTACTTTGTTGATGGTCGGAGAAGCCTGGAGCTTGACAAAATTACAGTCTGCACTTTACTCAGGAGCTATAAACTCCTTGCGGCTGATTGCACACCGGACAACACGCTACATGTATGCAGCCTGCATCGGCGTATCTGCGAAGCACCACTTTTGTCTCAGCTCCCCATAACTCAGGCGCAGCGACGCGCGGCGTTGATGTCGCAAGGCTTTGCCACCAACGCGAAGGGCTCAGCACGTGCAAGAGCATCCTTCCGGCACGTCGGCTCCCTATGAGAAAACCTCCAACAACTTGATACATTACGGCGTGAAGATCTCATTGCCGGTAAATTGAGCGCCATTGGTCTGGGCAAACAGAAACAAGGACCTCACCTTTTGCACCTCAGCTACGATGCAAAAGCTCAGAACGTGGCCTCATGTGGTCTCTCGGCGATAGATAACATGTTTGCACACGGCAAGTGTGACGGCACTTTACGAGGCACCTATGCCGCTTCGGAACACCCATCTGCCGCGACCTAGAGTCCTAGAGAGGTTGCTCTGTTGCAGGCAAGAACGCGAACTCACCCTCGGCAGATCCGGAGCAAGCGCCATCCCACAATGCTCATAGTCTCAAAGTCTGTTGACTACTCCGAGAGCCTCCAGGGACTTGAGAGGCGCCACAGGACCATAGCGGGAGCCCCGGCCTTCGAAGACCTCCGGAGGCTTGGGGGCTTAGAGGCTTGGAGCAGTAAAGTCTTCGGGGTGTCAGACCGCTGACCCTCGATTTTGAACAGCTGATGGAATCCGTGAGCACATTTGGGAGGCTCACGTTCCAGCTGCCAGCCTCCGCACGAGAAAAGCTCAGTTTGGACCCTTGCGTGGCGATGTCATCGTACATGGCGCAGGCCTCGTCAGCCGCAAGCTCTCTGGGACTGAGCGATGCGCAAGCGAGAGTTTGAATTGGCCTTGACGTGGAGCACAAACTTCACCTGACTGGAGGTTTCTGCATGCAGTCTTCTGGCTACGCGATACAGTTGCGCCCTGCCTGACCCGACTCGATCATGTGAATGGAGAGAGAGGTCAGCCCACCCGCGGCGGCCGCTTTAAAGCCTCTGAGACGCAAGAAGCAAGGAAATCACAAGGTCCTGTCATGTCCTGTCCCTTCCGCCTTGTGCCATTCGAGACTTGGAGAAGATTCGAATCCAAGGCGCGGATCTCGGGATCACTGGCAAAGCCCTTCTGGATGGATTTTGCCTCTCAGAGATGAGCGAATTTCCGCGGACAGGGCAGCAGGCCCGGCCTGGCCAACAAAGGCTTCGAGCCCACTGGAAGGCCGCCAACCTGAGAACAAAAAACGATGCCTCTCGGCAAAACATCGGCCCACCCCGGCCCCGGCCCCGCCGACACCCTTGCGGCTACGAGTAGCCTGTTGCTTTTCATTTTCAACCTTCAGCAGGCCGATGTGAAGCCCTGGAAAAAAGAAGTCTTCGGTCCCTCTTCTGGGAATCTTTTCACTTGTGATGCCAGGGCGCCCGGTAAGCCACCGACCTGTCTGCCAAGCGCTAGACTTTCAGGGGGCTCCGGCAGCGACTCTGCTGTGGTGGAGCTGCAGCAGAAGCAACTATGCAAGACAGGCCGAAGACTACATCATGCTGCAAAGGCTTTAGCCCCGTCTTGCCCAAACCCCCAAGCACTGGCGACATGAACGAGTCGGCTAAAGTTGAGAAGCCTGCGCGCCCGGACAAGCCGCAATAGCTTTGGCGACTCGATCCGGAGGTGCTTCCTCCAGACTGGAACTAGCGTACGTAAGAGCATCTGCAGGAACAAGTCGGTCTGCAGCTACATCTTATGCCAATCGTGGCTCGTGCAACACCGGTCCGCATCTGCGAGCGCTACGACATGCCGTGTTGCAGGCGTGAACTGCAAAGCTCCAGGCCTTCAGGAACACAGGCCTCATGCGCCGTTTTGGTGGGATGACCTTCTGCGCAGCTCAGACTGCTTGTTGACTACGATCCTGAAACCATCTGCGACAACCGTCCAGCCAATCGAACTTACCGAACTTCCGGCAATGGTACTGCTCTCGATTTCTTTTCGGCATGGGCCCCATGAAGGGCACGATAGGCTGTTTATCGATCTCCCTTTCCGAGCTAGCTTTGTCGTTGCAAAGATCTCAAACCGATGGCAAGCACTATCAAAATTAGCCTAGCCGGTCATCAGCCGCACACCTCCATCTTGATGAAGTCCGACCCTACGATGCTCTCGCAAATGCCGCACCTAAGGAACAACCCGGGCGCAGGACGTCTCATGCCCAGTTTCATGCGAAGCAGACATCCACCGGGGCTCCAGGCCCCATGCAGTTGCCAGTGGACACCACTTCCTGGTAAAAGCACGGACTTGAAGCCCCGCAGCCTGCTAGCTACACATCTGACTGACGAAATGGTCGAGAGGTTAAAAACTGGAGCCAGGAGACTCAACAGACCTGCGCCTAGTGTAGTCCCTCAGAGAGGTCCTGCAGGGTCTTGGGAGTGACCAGGGTAGAGCCATCGAACCTTGAGGCCCGTGACGGCTCAGTCTCTGCGCAACTCTGGCCTCACTTCTGGGAAAGGCTTAGCCCGGTGGCTGGCCGGCCAGCTTCGCCAAGTCTTCGATGTCCATGGCGATGCTGTGTGCTCTCAAGGTGTCACGTCGTCAACACATGCGGCTGAAAGGTGGAGCTTTGTATGATGACGGCATCTTGGCAGCGGTTCTAAGCACAATGCTTGCGGCAGGGGCATGTTGGAACTTCTGCCACACCGGCGTTGGCCCATCGCTTCGTACTTCGGATCCCTGCAACCCCGTCTCAAAAATTCAAAAATGAACGACCCAATCTGCATCAAGATCTACTCCGCGAAGAAGACACGGCATCGACAAGTACTGCATTGACAGAAATGACACGGTAGACTTTACATCTGTGCTGGCGGTCCGTGCCCGGACCCATTGCCAGCCCTGCGGCCATAAAGCCCAGAGAGACCTCGGGTGCATTGATGTCAATTCGTGTGTGGACGCCTCCCTCTTCTAGAAGTGTTGATGCTACTGATGCTCCATGCTTCATCTGTTCTCCTGAAGCGAGACTGCTCATTAAGATAGTCTTCCTGTCGAACGCGTTGCTCATCTCACTAGATCGGGAGGCAAGGCAGCCACCTGATGTCTTCGAACTCCAGACAGACTTCCCAGAGCGTCTGAGCCCTCGGGCAATCAGCCCCGCGATGGGCGCAGCCAAGGACATGTTCACCTCAGCCTGAGGAAAAGGACTCTTCCAACAGTCCTGGGAAAAGGACTCTTCCAACAGTCCTGGGGGTGCCCTGTGTCGCATCTGCCAACCGGACGCCTCCCGATTCGGCGCGGTGGACAGCCGTCGTGTCAAGGTGCCGAGGCAGCCAATGGATCTCAGTTCGCTTGACAAGGGTGCAGCACTGAGGCTTCGCCGGAATCGAGATTTCCACAACATCGATTGAAAGCGGCCCCATGGCCACCTTTCCCCGCTGATGACCAAGACCATGATCAGGTTCTGGTAATGGCAAAAGATGGCAAAAGTGATAGTGGCGATTTCGCTGATCACGGAAATGTTGGTGATGATGGAACCCCTGATCATCGTGGCGGTGGTTGCTGTTGTTGTTGCTGCTGATGCTGTCGTCGAGGCTGGTTCTTCTGGGTGGCTGTGAGAGTAGTGGCTGTGAGAGTAGTGGCATTGGCATATGTGATCATGTGTGCCAACCGAACAGGTCCTCTTCGAAGGCTTCAAGAGTTCAGGGTCTCCAGAGAACTGAGTAGCACGAGGGTTCAGGCGAGGGGTTTCTCGAGCTTCAAAGCCTTGACCGCCTGAGGGTCGGGGCCCGCTGAGCAATGTTGGCAGCAGGTACGGCGGAGTGAGCTCGACCCTGGCAGAGAGAGGCTGTAAACGCCTCCGGAAACCTGCATGAGGGGATCTGAAGGTTCATGGAACCATATCACAAACCGCTACATCATGGCCATACAGCTGCGAGTCGGAAGAGTTGGCACATCTTCACCATCATACACGGACTTCCCTGCAGCGCACTTGTAGTTGGATGCCACAGTGCGGCGAGCGGTCTCCTTGCATTGAGCGGACGGAAAGGTGGGCTGGCTTTGGCTTGAGAAGGGAAAGGTGCACGATGCCAGGCGGCCTGGGCAGCAACAGTGGCCAGCACAGCTGCTGCGACAGGCACCAACTGGAGCAGGATTTTAATTAAGGGTTGGTGAAGGCTTCTTGCATCTTGCCTGTTTGAGTTTGTCTGGGAACGAAGTGAAGACGGGTTGAATGCAAGTACGGGGAGATGGAAAGAACATCCAATCCTTGCTGTTCATGGAGCTTCCTGGGGACGTGCACGGCGGAGCGTAGGCCAGGCCTTCTCAAAGGCCCCGGTCAAGTCTCCCACATCTGATCCGGCCTGCCAGGATCGAAGTGATCGAAACCCAGGTGTCCTATGAAAGCCTTGGAGATGTCGGAACTTTCAGCTCCCTGAGAAAGTCTTTCAAGCGCAGCTGTGCTGCTGGCAGCTGCCGAAGCTTGGTGCTGTAGATTCATGGGAGGTCAGCTAGAAGTCAGGCAACCCAGAAAACACAACAAATATGCCGGTGGTGCCGCCAGGCCGGGACCCACAGCAACCACCTGCGTCTCCGCACAAGTCTTGAGCTTCGGAGTCTCCCAAAACGTCTCACAGGTCCGTGAGGATCCAGACGTTACGGCCACAAGACTCGCTTCCAGCCCTTACAAGCATGGGCAGGCGACCGCCAAGGTCGTAGAGAGGGAGGAAACGAAGGTGGCACCCACGCTGAGGACCCAAATGACCCACTGCCACCTGCGCGACTTGCTTTGGCTGTCAGTTTTTGGTCGGAGATTCAAGCACAGCTACGAGTAGATCGCACATCGGAGGGTACCAGAAACGGTGGATTGTGTTCCGGGAAACTTCGGACCTTCCGCATGGCAACACCAAATCCCAAAAGCTCGGTCGGAGACGACTCGATCTCTCCATCAGGCAGATCGCCTCGTGTCGAGTTGGCCACAAGCATCGGCTCAGCAACAACTCTTGCTCTGCACTTCGGTTCTTGGCACCAGGAGCGACCGCCTGGGACTCTCGACATGTCATCTCAGCAGTCAGAGAATCTCTTCAGCTATTCAGAAGGCTCTGCATCCCCTTCACTGGCGATTCTTGATTGCTGCAAGGTGTCTCTTGTGCACCATGATCAGCAGACTCTTTCCTTCCTCCTGCACATGGACCATAGGGGACCCCTCAAACATGTTCACGGCCTCAACTCGTGAACGCATCGTGCCTACATGTCTGCATAGTATCTATCTCAGCCGGCAGGCTGATGTACCACTCAGCGCCAGTCCATGAGAATCCGTCTTTAGACATCCATTGCATGTGCTAGGCATAAAAAACCTTCTCGCCCAGTGCATCTCCTTCTGTGGCTGGAAGAAGAGCTCAGTCTCTGTTGCGCCAGCCCTCGGCGTGCTCAACCAGAGCAGCAATTGGCTTGTGTACAGCTTTGGGACCAGTCGCGCCGGTCTGCTATCGCCGGAAGTAGGTGCGTGAACGCTAGATGACAGAGCTCGCAAAACAAGACTTGCAGGACAACTACCTCGAATCGTGAACTCCAGAACCACGTTCTGAGTGAAGGGTTGGAGGCTTCCGAGTTGAGGTCTGCAGAATCAGACAGTCTGATCTGGGCTCCGGGCGCCTGGATGCCGGCCATACGCGTCCTCGGTGCCACGTGGCCATGCACAAGATGTCTACTACGAGAAAGCATGTCCAAGCTTAGTCACTGCTCATGGACTCACGACCCCCCGACCCCGACGGACTGCCACAGCAAGAAAAACATTCTTTCAAGCTTACACTATTATCACATTTGGGTCTTTGACGTCTCATGTGGCTAGTGGCAGACTTCTTTCTTGCAGGAAGCCCGGACTTCCAGAGTTGCAATTTCGAGAACTCACATCAGACATGGGGTCCCACAGGCGGAGCTCGCTCCATGATGCCTAAATGAGTCTTGATAGCTGTATGGATACCCTCGACAAAACCTGAGCTAAACTGAATGTACTCCATGATGTCGTGCAGCAAGCTTCTCAAATCCGACCTCTGGGGTGCTTTCCGGCACCTTTAGAAGGCCGAAAATGGGCCTGACGACTTTTGCTGGCACGGCAACGGAAACGAAAACAGTCTGCAAACATCATTGATTTCTAGCCAGGGCACACCATGAACCACACCCGCCGTAGACGGAAGAAGAGCAAGCACGATAGGCATGTAGGGGTGACGGAATGCTACACTTCGACCAGGCCAAGGTCTCACAGGCAGTAATGCAAAAAAGGAATGACAGTGTCGGTTATCAGCTGTATCGGCAGCACTGCCAAGCACAAGGAAAGACGAAAACACCATCACCACCACCACCACCACCACCGGCAGCGGCAGCAGCGGCAGCGGCAGCGGCAGCGGCAGCGGCAAACCTATAGCTATGGTATCTTGCCAACCTGCGGTACAGTTGCACTTGCAGCTCATAAGCATTGCAGACCGCATGCATAGCCATCGCCATAATTACTCGCTATTATTCTGTGCATTATCGCATGTTTCCATGTCATTCGCACTAAATTAGGCTTCTCAGAACCCGAAGCATGGCGGCTTGGAATTTGGTCACGCTGAAAAGCGTTCGCCGAGTATTTCTCAAAGGGATTGCTGCAAGACTGCTCCGAAATAACATGAGAAAATGTGCACGCATGCCCCTGAATAATGAGGTTCAAGCCACTCTGTGCCGGTTTTTGACTAGACTAGACAGTCGGCCACGTGAAACAAACAAACCGCAGGCCAAGTGTCTGCAATGACTCCAGAGCCACGGCAGGGTCGCGGCCGTCGGGAATCTGCCACCCCATGTCAATGATAGCACAGCTTTGATTAACTTTGAGTGCATCACATTCCCTACAATTCACTGTGCTGGTTGTCACATCCAAGATCTGTGTTGTCCGGCGTGCTGGCTGCAAGCTGTTATGGGCCCCGCTGCAACAGCTCCCGATTCTGCATGTCGATCTCTCTGCTCGCTTTCCAGGGCCACGACGACTCCAGGGAAGATATAGCTGCGCTCGAAAACTATCGCATCGTTGGCGACGAAGTCCTTCTCGCTAGGAACATCAGCCGAGCCCATCAACGATCAAGAATCAGCAGTGTCAGCAGTAGCAATCGGAAGGGGCAGGAGCAACGGCAGAAGCTGCAAGGCGTGATAGCGGCAAAGCATCAGCACCAGCATCTTCAGAGGTAGCAGTGGCAAAAACTTCTTGATCGTGGTGGCCCGTCCTCACTGCTCAGTGCCTGGCGAAGGAGCTGTTGCTCACCGATGCTCACTGGAACAAGGAGCAAGGCATCATGCACGAGTTGAATCTCGCGGAACTCTGCTCGAGCAACCCGTGCGCATGGCGTGCTCATGGCCATAAATGACAGCCAATGTCAATTTCATTCAGTCGAGTAGAAACCCTGGCAAGAGGCTGGGGAACGAGTGCAATCTCAATACGACCATCCTGCAGAGACCGTGTGACCATGTGTTGCTGCAAGATCTGCAAGCTTCTGACATGGATTCGCAAGCAAGCATGTCTGGCAGCATGCGAAAGACAAAGC